CTTAGTTTTATTTTATGTGAAAGAGTGATGCAGAGAGCTCCAATTCCCGAATGCCTGCAGTGGCTGGGGGCTTGGTCCAGCTTTCCTGTGTTGGTTGCAGGAACCCAGCTACCCCAGCCATCACTTACTGCATTATCAGGGGCTGCAGGGCCTTGAAGCTAGGCACTGGGTGCAGTGTCTCGGCTGCTATCCTGCCACTTTTTTGCTTATTTCGGAAGTCATGAAATTTTAAACCTGGAAATGCTCCCATTACATTAGGAAAGCAGAGACCCACTCACCCCTTGGGGGTAGGGGTGACATTGCTTCGAGTCTATAGAAGAACTAGTAACAATATTGAGACTAGCCCATTGCTTTTTCCACTGTGGACTGGACAGCTCTGTATGCCAAATTATTCAGTCCTTGGCAGTTTTAGACTCTTAAATCATAAAACCACTTGTAGTTACTGTAGTTGAATTTCTGTGCCAAGTGTAGCTTTGAGACTGTTTAAGCATCTGTAAATTAAAAAGTCATGCCTAAATTATCTTGGGGTTAGTTAATAGGGGCAGGGGCAAACAAGCCCCGGTTCCCAGTGACCTACCATGGATTAGTAATCTGCTGCCCTGGAACTTGGAGGAATAATACTTTCTACAGGATCCTATCTTACTTAAAGAGAGGTTTTATAACAGCAATTTTTTATATTTTCTATTCACTATACTTAACCAATGTTTTAGGATCTTTCTGGGAGCCCAGTTTAAGTAGTAACTCTTTCTAGCCCATAATCAGAAATTAGAAAGATATAGTGGGATAAGACAGGTAGTTATCAAATACCAGTTTTATAACTGATATTACTTAAATAGCCCCAAACTTCTTGCAACTGCATGCTAAAGAGAGTCTCTTCAGAGGGGAAAAAAATTACTAAATTCTTGTCTTTTTAAAGGTTATTTCTTATCTGATGACAGACTTCCCACTTGTTGAGTTACTAACCTAAATGCCTACAACAGTCAGGTCTCTCACATGGGTGCAAGCCCAGACCAGAAGCTAGAGTCAGGAGTGGAGTTGGAACTCAGTCCCAGTGTGCTGATATAGGGTGAAGGCATCCCAGCCAGTATCTTAGTTCCTAGGCCAGGCACCTTCCCTGTGACTTTTTTTGTATATGAATTAAGAGAAAAATAATATTTGGGAAAGAACCAATACTTATTAGTCCAACAAAATGTTCATATTTCTCTCATGTTGAAAAAACTATAAAATATTCAAGTTATCAGTATAGTGTTCAATTCTTTTATTTATTTTTGTTGGAAAGGCAGATTTACAGAGGAGAGACAAAGATCTTCCAAATGGCTGCAATGGCCATAGCTGGCCCCTTTCAAACCCAGGAGCCAAGGGGTTTATTCCTGGTCTCCCACATGGGTGCTGGGTCGCAAGGCTTCAGGCCATCCTCCACTAATTTCCCAGGTCATAAGCAGGGAACTGAGTGGCAATCAGAACAGCCCGACATGAACTGGTGCCCACGTGGAATGCCAGTGCTTGAAGATGGAAGGATTAGTAAGTGTGGCATCACACCAGTTCCAGTGTTCAGTCTGATGAAGCACAGCTTTTTTAGAATTAAAACTGTAAAATCTGGGACCAGCACTTCCTGAGCCAGTATTCTGTTTCAGAGTACCTACTCCACCTTTAGCCCAGCTTCCTGAAAATGTGCCTGAGAAAGCAGCCGAAAACCGCTCCAGTACTTGAGACCTCACCGCACAAATGGGAGACCAAACCAGCAGATGGAAGATATCTCTGTCTCTATGGCATTCTACCTTTCAAATAAAAGTCATTTTTAATATGGAATTTTTTAGTTGATAAATGTGTTTTCTCTGATTATAATTTTATTTTTACCTTTCTCACTTTTTTTTATTTTTTGAAACAACTCACTCAGCTAACACCTACAATAATCAGGGCTAGGGATGAACCAGGGCGTGAAGTGGGTGGCAGGAACCCAATTACCTGGGCCACCACAGCCACCTTCTGTCTAGGATGCACATTAGCAGGGAGCTGGAGTCAAGAGCTGCAGCCAGGACACTAACCCAGGGCCTTTGATGTGGGGTAACTTACCTTTATTTTAACCAGGTTGGCGAAATTCTGGCCCTGATGGTATGTTCAAATAATCAGCTGAAATTCTTTCCGTTTTATTGAAATATTTATTGTATTTATATAAATCACATAATCACATTATCCAAAGAAAAAATGGTGCAGAATATGCATTGAGGGGCCAGCACTGTGGTGTGTTGGGCTGGGCTTCTGCCTGCCAGAGTGATATCCCATATGGGTGCCAGAGAGTTCTGGGATCCACTTCCAATTCACAGCAAATAGCCTGAGAAGGCAGTGGAGAATGGCCCAGGCGCCCAATGTAGAAAACTGGGAAAAAGCTGCGGGCTACCAGCTTTGGGTTAGCTCAACTTCAGCACTGAGGCCTTTTGGGAAGTGAACCTTTTGATTTTGGGATTACCTCTACGAACTTATTTGATGGGAAAATATTGCACTGAAAAGAGTTTCTACTGCTGTGTTGGACTTACACCTCTACACATTCCAGGATCATATTTCCTAGTAGAAGTAAGCACATTGAATCCTAATCCAATATAACGAAATTTTCATGTATACAACAAGAAGTGCCAGGTGGAAGGGTTTATAACAGGAGCAAACATAAGTGGTTAGCTAAAAGGAAACTTAAAGGGATTTTCACAAGGTAATATTCGAGATGATCTTGGAAAATGAATGAGTGGTCACTGTTAAGAAAAAAGATATCCCACCTTGAAAATAAAGGGGGGGGGGGTCTATAAAATAAGAAATTACAGGATACTCATCCCATTTTTTTAAGATTTTTTTTTTAATCTAGGGGTCATTATTTGCTGCAGCAGTTAAGATACAGCTTGAGACACCCATGTTGAAGTCCTGGGGTTGAGTCCTGACTCCTCCCCCAATTCCAGCTTTCTGCTGATGTCCATCCTGAGAAGAAGCAGTGATGGTTCAAGTGGCTGGTTCCTCCACCCACATGGGAGACCTGGAATAAGTTCCCAGTTCCTGCTTCATTCTGGTCCAGCTCTGGCCATGGTGGATGTTTGGGGAGTAAACCAGCAGACAAATGTCCGTGCCTGCCTTTGAAATATTTTGAAGTATGAAAGAAAGGATTTTTCTGCCTGTTTCTCATGTAAAATTGATATTACAAAATTTCAGTCACTTTTGTACAGTTAATTCAGTGATATTAAGCGCATTCATGTTGTACAGCCACACACCATTATCTTCAGAGCTTTTTCATTTTAACAGATTGAAACTTCATACCATCTGTCCAAGTCCCTGTAACACACTGCTCCTTTGTGTTTGTGAATTTGGCTCTTTGTTACCTCATTTAAGTAGAATCCTGTATTTGTCCCGTAGTAAATAATATATGATCAAACACTTATTAGGTTAAATGGAGTATTTGGCTCATTACACTTAGCATGTTTCAAACATCATTTATTATAGTATCTATCTGAGTTTTAGTTCTCTTTATGACTGAATAATATTCCATTATTTCCATATTTCATCCATTCATCTGTCAGTGGAAACATAAGCTGATTTCAGCTGTTGACAACTGTGAATAATACTGATGGAAACACTGATATGCAAGTGTGACTTCTGCTTCCAGTGTTTTTAAAATTCATCTAAGAACAGATGTTATATATTTCATACATGTGGTTTTAAGAGCAGAGTGATACTTCCCACCCTAGCCTATCTCCCTCCCTTTCTGGCACTCTGCCTTCTCCTAATTTCCTTAGCTTTTTTCGGTGATACACTTTCAGCTTTCTTTAAAAACACAAGCTTAACACTCTGCGGAATACAGAGTTCAACACGTAGTAAGTAGAAAAACCACTGTTCCTAAAAACTATATAGACAAGGCCAATAATCAAATCTCAAAAATGGCAGTTTTGCTCATATATATTGCTCTGTTTTTAAGAACTTTGTATGTTACTTACCTCGAGTCTGCAAAATGTTTGTTTCTTGGGAACTGTCTTAGTTTACTAAACATAATGGTGAAATACAGGATTCTGTTTTTATGGCTAAGTAGTATTCCATTATATATATATACCACATTTTCTTATCCAGTCATCAGTTGATGGGCATCTGAGTGAATTCATTATCTTAGCTATTGTGAGTACCCCACAATGAACATGAGGGTGCAGGCAACTTTCGTGTGCTGATTTTTTTTTTTAAACAGTTCCTGTATAGTTGATCCAAAGGGAGGAAGACAAAGGGTTACCGTCCTCCCAAGGCTGGGACAGAAGTGCCTGAAGGGCTCAGACGTTGCACACTTGGGAATAGAACAAGGTCGGATCAGGTTCAGTGTGGCAGTGAATGGAACTGGAGATCGTTACACGAAGTAAAATAAGGCAGACCTAGAAAGACACATAGTCTGTTTGTGGAAGTCAGTATAAGGAGAGTAGTTTTTAAACAAGGGGAGGAAGAAAAAGAAACCCCTGGGACAGTTGGGTGTTTTCTGTGAACAGGCCTCTTAATATAATGAGTGGAGTTCAGGATGGGACATAATAAGAATGTATTTTCTTCCTGCTTTTAGTTCTTTTGTGTTTATACCTAAAACTGGAAGTACTAGATCTTAAGAGAATTTTATTTAACTTTTTGCCAGTTTTCACAGCAGCCACACCTTTTACAATCCCACCAGCGATGTACACAGAATTCTGTCTCCACATCTTTATCAACTTTTATAGTTTTGAAAACATTACCTTACTGTATACTAGACCCGTGAGAGCTATGAGAATATAATTCATGTCACCATTACGTAAAAAGGCTGGTCCCAGCCTCAGAAAAAGTTTGAATCTGCATCAGAATCTTGGCTCTTATCATATTGTTTGTGTGGTACAGAGTGTATTTTGGGGAAGTCCTTTGCAGTCAGAAAGTACTCTTACAAAATCAGACACTAAAAAGTAAAACAAAAGCTTTTTGTAGTTTTGCTGTTTGTAGCAATGTAATTTTCTTGTCCCCTACAGCTCCCTGCACAGGCAGTACTTTTTTTTGCCATAGCAACATGTGCATCAATAATTCTTTAGTCTGCAATGGTATTCAAAACTGTGCATACCCTTGGGATGAGAATCATTGTAAAGGTGAGTACTATGCAAAAACCAAACTGTTTTGAGGAAAAAATAATGTGCTTTTAATTAAGATACATTAAATGTTCTTTTTCAAAAACCTTACCTAGCATAGCTGATTAACAGCAATGGAGACTTATAAGTGTTCTTTTCAGTGGATATGGTACAAGCACAAAGAAATACTTAATCTCAACAAAACTTTTGTTGTTGTTTGCAGAAAAGTCGGAAATGTGTCATGATATTTTCTGCCCTTATTGTTAAAATTTGTCATTTGTATTCTGAAGATACCTTACTAGTTGTCTAGATCATTTAAAAGGTAGCCTAGAATATTTTATTTAATAAAAGATCAAGGCTGACAGTCGCATAGTTAAGAGGCTGTTGCCTACAGAGGCCAGCCTCTCATGGGCACAAGTTTGGGTCCCAGTGCTCCACTTGCCATCAGCTCCCTGCTCATGTGTCTAGGAAGGCAGGAGAGAGTGGTCCAACTGTTTTAGCCCCGGTACCCACATGGGAAACCTGGAAGAAACTTTCCTCCTAGCTTCAGATTGGCCATATGGAAAATGAAGCATTGGATGGAAGACATCTCTGTTAAAATAATCAATTAATAGGGTCAGATACAATGGCTCCGTTGACTAATCCTCCTCCTGCAAGTAGCAGAGTCCCATATGGGCTCCAGTTGATGTCCCTGCAGCTCTGCTTCCCATCCAGCACCCTGCTTGTGGCCTGGGAAAGCAGTAGAGGGTAGTCCAAAGCCATGGGACCCTGCACCCTCATGGGAGACCTGGAAGAGGCCCCTGGCTCCTAGCTTCATATTGGCTCAGTTTCAGTCATTGTAGCCATTTGGAGAATAAATCAGCAGATGGAAGATCTTTTTCTCTGTCTCATTTTCTCTGTAAATCTGCCTTTCTGATAAAAATATATCTTTAAAAAAATCAATTGATAGATTCAGTGTTATACCCTAAAAACAGACCTATTCTAAAAACTGCTTTTTAAAATTTTTCCATAAAATTCCCCATGCTACAGTTCTAGTATATGCTCTGAAAAATAAAATACGACTGGTGGCAATAGCTGAATGTCTGCAAGCTGATTATCAAATCAGTGTCTCAGAATTAAAGTTTTGTGTTTCAAGAGCCTAATAGTTTTAATATATGACAAAGTGATATAATTGTATGTGGTGTCTTGAGTACTTGACTTGAAGTATTTTCTGATAATCAAACAGAACATGAAACAGGTGGCTGGATTAGCCTGATCATGTTGATTGTTCTGTCGTAGTCACCAGTAGAAATATAAGGGGTATCCTTACGCATGGCTGAAACCTACCATACAGCAGAAAGCTGAATTTAGTAGAACAAGAGTATTTATTGTGCCACTTCCTGCATTTTTTGAATCTAATTCACAAGTTGCATACATTTGTATACCTTTTGAGTAAAGGAAGCAAGCACTTTATTTTTCTATAATCGATCAAGCTACATTGTGATTAACCAGAAATCACTGTAAGATTTTTAAATCTTGTTTTAAAAACCTGTTTTTAAGGTGCATTGCCTTGGGCATATTTGACCCAAGTGTTCTCCTTTACTTAAAATTACCTTACCAGCTTGTGCTGAGACTCATATTAACAAAATTTGAAAACCTTTTTTCTCTCCACAGAAAAGAAAAAAGCAGGAGTGTTTGAACAAATCACTAAAACCCATGGAACAATTATTGGCATTACATCAGGGATTGTCTTGGTCCTTCTCATTATTTCTATTTTAGTACAAGTGAAGCAGCCTCGAAAAAAGGTCATGGCTTGCAAAACTGCATTTAATAAAACGGGGTTCCAAGAAGTGTTTGATCCTCCTCATTATGAACTGTTTTCACTAAGGGACAAAGAAATTTCTGCAGACCTGGCAGACTTGTCAGAAGAGCTGGACAACTACCAGAAGCTGCGACGCTCCTCCACTGCCTCCCGGTGCATTCACGACCATCACTGTGGATCGCAAGCAGCCAGCGTCAAACAGAGCAGGACCAATCTCAGCTCCATGGAGCTTCCTTTCCGCAACGATTTTGCACAACCACAGCCAATGAAGACATTTAACAGCACCTTCAAAAAAACTAGCTACACTTTTAAACAGGCACATGAATGCCCTGAACAGGCTCTAGAAGACAGAGTAATGGAGGAGATTCCCTGTGAAATTTATGTCAGGGGGCGAGAAGATTCTGCACAAGCATCCATATCCATCGACTTTTAATCTTCGACTTAAGGTGACATGGTCATTCAGTGCGTGTGTATGCAGCCTACAGAATACCCATGCTGTTTCCAACAAGTCCCCTTCCCCTGTCAAAACTGGGAAAACCTTTATTTGCTCTTAACCTATTTATTGTATCAGGCAGTATATACATGTTCAGTCAACAGAAGTAAACCGCCGTGTGGTGTTGCACGGCGCTTGGAGAGGGGAGTGGCCGTCTCGTGTCAGGCCCAGGCTGTCTCAGTATTAACAACAGGAGTACTGCTGTTGATAATACAGCTGTCAATATTTTGATCCAAAAATAAACTGAAAAATAAGATTTTCCTTTACATTTGTATTATTTTTCTTTAAGTCGGTATGTTTTATGAACTTAGAAATTTTAGCTTTTGATGTTTTATATAAAAATAAGTGGTTCATGTGCCGCATACTTCAGCATAAGCCTTTCTTCTGAAGTGTGTCAAAATTACAGCTAATTACTGTGATAAGTGCCAATTAAGACTCAGAGTTGTATTTCATCCATCTGTTTCTTGACTTATTTCTCTACTTCCATCTTTTGTTACTGGATTCTCAGTCCTTTTTCTGTGAGAAGTAGTAAATGATATGATTTATCACCTTTATATTTTGTGTAAATTACCCTAGAAAATTTCATAACCCCACAATGTCTACACTATCATTACCAGTTATAACTAAAATATGAGAAACACAACAGCTTTCTAGTAAGCCTTCAGAATTTCTCAAATTAGGTCATATCCAGTGAAAGCCTGTTCATTCCAATAAACAGTCATTCATTTGGGGGAAGCAAGTAATTATGTTTATTTGCAATGATTCCAGTCACCAATCTATTTCCTGTTGTTTTTATGGTTGTTAGCACTGTGTTTTATCTTATCACATACAGGAACCAAGGCTTATGAAAGTTAGTGGGAAATTCTTGAGCAACTGTAACCTTTTAAATTGCGTCTTAACATGGGACAGTACATTTTTTCTAGCTCTTAGCTAAAGTAACAACTTCCTCTTTTTAAACAGCATTTTTGATGTTATGTTTCTTATGGTATATAAAATGATAAGTTTTAAACATAATATGGAACTCATTGTTTTTACTTTTGATATTGTTTGATACTAGACAAACTAAATACAGATTTCATTCAGTATTCACATTAGTAGATCTGAATGCAGGTAGTGTATCATGGAGCTGTGTACAATCTGTTGTAAAGAACTTGATGTGTTCATAAGCTTTGTTAACTGGATTTAGTTTATTATCATTTTCTCACCATATATTTATTGCTTTACATCACTGCATAAATCATATACCTTGTTACATGGTCCTTCTATCATGTATTGAGATTTGAGATCTAAATATATATATATATATATATGGAAAAGGAACCTGTTTACCAAATCACAAGTAATAGAAAAATTCTCATTTCTGTATTTCCTGTAAATTCTCAAGTGAGAATTTGGGGTTTTGTTGAATTTCACTGAGTCTTTTAAGTATATGTAGATATGTTCTCTTAGATTCATGAAAATTATGACCTTAAATATATACACACATACTGCTTCAAGATGTGTTTTTAAGACATGTTTAATTTTATAAAATCAAATGTGCAGGAGATAGGATAATCTACACAGAGTATATTTATTATTTAATTTTAAGTTAGCATGTTTCCCTGTTGAAAAAAAATACAATTTGGAAAGCGAAACAAACTGAAGAATACACTATTCAAAGAACTAACATGAGAAACCAATCGGATAGTTGAATTTTTTCAATAATTTTGCTATTCAGACATTAAATAGGTTAGTTAGGAAAGTCAAGTTTTTAACTGCCTTTCATAGTTACTCCAACTGCGATCTTCAGCTAAAAGGAAATTATTTCCTATGTAAAATTATATCCATTTTAATCTCTAGGACATAGTAGAAAATAGTTATGACCGTGTGCATAACTACATTATGTATAATTGTCGTGTTTTTATTTCTCAGTTTGTATTCTGTTTTTTTTTTAAAGAGTTTGAAAAATCTCACAACATACAGAGCCTTGAAAGAAGACAGTTCAAACAGCACAGAAGTGCATAGTTTCAAGTTGGGTAGTATATTTAGTTCTAAATATTCTGCAAAATTTTTCTTGTCACTGTAGAAAATCCAAACTTGCTAGCAGAAGCTTCTTTTTTGTAAGAATTTTTATAAGGGGCAACATAGCCTCAACTAAAAAAAAAAAAAAAGAGCAGAGTGTGCACAAAGGTCACAAAGGTATAAATCCTAAGCCAGTGAGCGCACAAACCAGATGATGGGCAGCGAAGCCAGTGCTGGACCACTGTGGATCATTCCTCCAAGGAGCTTTCCACCATTCATTCCTAGCTACATTTTGGGTCGGGTGTAGGGAAAGAGAACAGAGCTATCAAGTTTAAAACTATTATTAGGATACTGCTAATTTTGTATATATAATCCTTCGTCTTTGAGGTCAATGAAACTACTTTACAGATTGTCTAATTAGAGCAAAAGCCATAAATTTGGCAATAAAATTTAGCCCTCTTGTGGAAGTTACAATCTCCTGCACACTACCCCATTGACAAATATGAAGGAACTTCAAAAAGTTTCTGGAAAAAAAAATGAAATAAAAAGGTACGTATTTTGGTGCAAAAAAAATTTTTTTTAACATGCATAGTTGTTTTTAGAACATTTCTTATGAACTTTCTGAAGACTCCTTATTATCTTCCAACAAAATACGGTTCTTGGAAGAGCTATTCAATTCAAGGACAGGGTTAAATACACTTTCATGATATTGTCATCATTATCTTCCATTCTAAATTTAACACATAATGTCAACCCTCACTGCCCATAAATTGCAAAGTAACCTACTAATCTCAGCACTTTAAGTATTTAGGAATAAAATGAGGTATTCTTTTTGTATGGGGTGGGAAAGAATAGAGATTGAACAGAAAGAAAATAATTTCACATAAGATTTTAAAACAAATACTGCTTTGATTTAACATCACATCTGTCCATGTCTTTGTCATTTTGTATTGTTGAGCAGTAAAATAACTTCCTAAACGTCCCTCTCTAAACATGTTTCTCTCCTATGAGGAGGATGCATCTTTGCTTTAGGATTGTGTCAACTGATGAGACCAGACAGGGAAAGCCTGGTCACAATTCCAGCAGGATTCTCAATGAAGACATTGCTGTCATTGCAAAACGGTATCTGCTATGTTGGTCATGTTATCTTATTAAACATAGTAAAATAATGCTGGAGAGACCCAGAAGAAACTTGGGTTCTTCAGTGTTCTTAAGGATCCAAGAAAGATGATCTGGTGCAACCTTATTGATGAGAAGACTGGAGCCCAAGACAAGTGAGTACCATGCCTCAGAAGTCCTTCCCCAGTGCTTGCTCCTTGTTTTTCGGCTGTCACCCTGCTTTGCCAGCTGTAAGTCAAGCAGTCCTGAAACAGGCCAGGTGTTCCATAAAGTTTGTCAATCATTCTGATTTTGAAATGTAATCTATTCTGCTAGTTTTCTTCAGAGCATTTATATTTCACCCTTTTTCTTTGTTTATATATGTAACACCATGTTATCCTCTAGCTTGTTGCCATGATTCCTTAGCACCTGCAAACTGTAAGACAATTACTGTGAATTCTTAATAAATAATGTTTGTTAACAATCGATTGACTTGATACCAGACACAGCCTGAGTGTTTTGTTTTTGTGATCTTTTAAAAATCTAAGCAAAAAAATTGAACATCGGTGTGCTCTATTTGTGGAGGTTTGAAGAATGATTTGAGTTCTTAGCCATTAAAATGTTAAATTAACCTGAAATATACAACTAGTATGTTAAGGAGATAACTTTTTCTTAATGAAAAATTAACTTATTTTTATATACTCCCAATAGTAATTTAAATTCTGAATTTGCTTTACATTTTCTATGTATTTCTGAGATTGGCTTAATGGCTATGAAAGCCAAAAAAACGATGACTGGGGAGCATATTTATATGCTGTCAGGAATGAACCCTTTAAAAAACAGTAAACTTTTACTAGCTATGAACCTCTGGGTCATAGAATTCACATGCTTAACCTTGGATTTGATTCTTTACTGTGACAATCTTGACCCTTAAAAAAAAACTGTTTTCATTTTCTTGCCTCAATAAGTCTCCAGTAGCTCCAAAGAGTTTAGGATCCATTTTTTTTTCTGTCTAGTAGCTTCCAAAATAATCGAAGATTGGAGCTTTTTTAAAGTCCACCTTGCAATGCCAGTTGCAACACTGGTATTCCATATCAGTGCCAGTTTGCGTCTCAGCTACTCTTCTTCCAGTCGAGCTCCCTTCTAAAGTTTCCTGGAAAGCAACAGAAAATGGCTTAAGTGCTTGGGCCCCTGCTACCCATGTGGGAAGCCTGGAAGAAGCATTGGCCTAGCCCAGTGTTGGCAGATTTGACCATCTGGGAAATGAATCAGTGTCTTACTCTGTGGCTCTTTCAATGAATTACCTTTTCAAAAAAACAACACGGAGCTATTACAACTTGGTACCATTTGTGTTTTCAAATAATCTTCCAATGAAAATGAGCTGGAGAACACACACACACAGGTGTCTTAGGTTGCCTGCCAGATCCAGCCAGCTGTATCCAGTCACTGAAACAGCAGTGAGCAGAGTGGGCTGTCCGAACAGGCTGTCCTTTTGAAATACAGAATACCTGGGTCACAGCATCAGCTTAGGGAAGACAGATAAATAGAACTTACCTGCAGAGAAAATTGTGCAACAAACAGAGAGCAAAGAAAGGCAGAAACTCCTCTGAACTCAAGTCATCAGATACAGATCAGAGTGCCACAGAGGAATAAAATCTGCAGAGCAGTTTTTCTTTCTGTGCTATTTAGGATCAAGAAACACTTATTTACAAGGGCTCTCGCCTTCCAAGCTTTGCCACATTCTATAACATCTGATGCCATTAGGCCTCTGAGCTGGTAAATGATTTATTGAAATGTTTTAAGTAGCTGCTGATTGCCAGAAAGAATTTTCATCAGAAACTCAGGTATTGAACCAGGCTTTTCAAATCTTGGCTTTATTTCTTCCATTGATGAGATTGTCGTGTTACATTAAGTGCTTTTCAGAGAAATATTCAGAAATCTTGAAATGAAAGAAGTGTGAATAGAAAAGGAGTTTTTTTTTCTGTACCCTTCCATTTTTCTACCACTCTGCCACATATGTAAGACAATTGAGCCATAAAAATGAACACAACGATTAAAAAACTGACTGCAAGTGGCTCAAACTCAGCCTGTGACTTTCAAGTTTGTTGTATGAAGGCAATTTGTCTCAGTCATCAACTTTTTAAAATTTTTACCTGTTTTACATAACATCTGTAGGTTCACTCTCCAAATGCGTGCAACAGCTGGAACTGGATCAAGCTGAAGCCCAGATTCAAAAACTCAATCTAAGTTTCCCACGTGGGTAGCATGGACCCAATCACGTAGGCCATCACCTGTTGCCTCCCAAGGTGCACACTGGCAGGAATATGGAATCATAAGTAGAGGCAGGACTCAAACCCAGATATCCTGATACGGGGGCCCAAGCATAGTCTTAACTGCTGTCCCAGTGCCTGCCTCAGTCATTAGCTTTCAGTTCAAAGCACGCGGAAGGCAGTTTCTGAGATGGTTCCTGGTGACCCTTGCATCCACTGTCCTTCAGTGAAAGCTAGCTCTAGTGACCCACTGCCACTTGGCAAAGATCCTTCTGAAATTAGTTGACAGAAAGGTTCTGGATT